CAACAACATTATTGTTATGAATTCTTTCTCTAATGAAATGTCTAACAGAGACATGTATAAGAATGCTAAGACACAATAACTTTCAGAAGAAGTTTTCATTTTAAAAATAAGATCCTATGTGATGTATTTCTTTGTGCACTTAAAATTTTAATTATTCTTGGTTTCATTATTTCAGTCTTCTGTTTCTCAAATCTTTTGTAAAAGGGAGTACCAAAAGTTTTCTCTGAAGAATATAATACAATTTAAAATTAAACTTTGAAAAAGAAATCTCCTTATTGCAAGTTTCAGCAAGTTTGTGGCAATGGCAATTTTTTAAATCACAAGCTTCAAATTTTTGTTTGTTTGGGCTCTATTCTCCAGAAATCTGAAAAATACTAATAATGATGCCACTTTACACGAGCTCAAACGCTTATGGAAAGATAAACTGTATGCTTTTTTATTTCATGGTCCTAATATAACATTTTTACTGTATTCACTATTACTGGATTATCCAGACGCTCTTCCTGCATTTATAGTTTGGAGGTGCCCCCTAGAGGTTCAACTAAAGAATGTGCTGAGACAAGAGGCACAACAAAGAACTCTGTTGCTTTTGAGTTGAGGAACTCTGTGGTGCAGTTATTAAAACATTCTGCTACTAATCAAAAGTTAGCAATTAATACTCACCTGGGACTTGGTAAGGCAAAGATGAAACAGCCCGCTTCTATAAAGATTTAGAATCAGACATCGAGTACTTTAGTTTGAAATGTATTCATATCTTAAAGCTCATCACTGTTGTTAAACTTACCCACCGCCCCCATAAAGCAAGCTGTTTTATGGAACAAAACTTTTTTTTTTTACAAGAGATTAGTGTACCTAATTCATATCAGTTTTCTTATCCTAGCCAAGCATATGAATTTTATAATCTATGTGCAAATGTTATTTGGATTACTGGAAAGAAAGTTCTTTCTGCCAATTTTCATTTTCGATATAGTTACTATAAAGAAAAGAACAGTCACAAGTATGCAAAGAGAGAAGGCTAGCTGGAAGCTCCAATAAAAGCTGACATTAGCCAACAAAGAAGCAGTACCCCAAATACTTATCCCCTGATATTTTCCATGTGAGTCCAGTTGAGTCCAACAAGACTAGCAGCACTACAGCACAAGTTGTTAAGACAGCTGTGGGGGCAAAGAAAATCTACAATCATCCTAGACTGGTACTCTTAGTTTTGGCCTCAGTTGTGTGACACTACAGGTAATTCCTGGGTGGGTGGTTTTTGGGTTTTTTCCCAAGGCTTTGTAGTTCAGAAAGATTTAAAACAAAGAGTTGGTTTTAATCCTATTTTATTCACTAGTTTGGAGATATACTTTTTCTCCTTTCCTATTCAATCAAATGTACACAAAATCTATCTTATCTCATAAAGCATACTAATTATTAAATGGGTCTACACGACTTTTTAAGTCTTAAAAGAATTCACAATAGATTTTCGCATCTTCTGCTTCTTAATGATTATTATAATGTCAAGCACAAGAGTAATTATTTTTTATTATTATGTATTGACATCCTTAGCAGTGAAATGTTACAGTAAATATCATGTGTTTTTAACTTGGTCAAAACAAATGTATTACATAGGATTCGCAATATGGATATTCTAGGAAATTTGTAATACATTACTCTAGGTAACAAGAAAATGGAATTATCTCACCATTTATCTTAGATTGCCTGAATAGACATAGCAAGGAACCTCTGTCTTTATTTCATGCTGTAACTTTTTTTACTTAGGTCCCATATTGTCTCTGCCAAGAAGTGCTTAGTATTCTTTCATCTCTTTTATAGTAATTTCCCTCATTGATCATTTGAATAAGATCATTTCCCTTATTGTGCCAGAGGACAAAAAATCTAATATTTCTCTGCATATGAGAAATGAAGGTGTTTTTGTCTTTCTTTAATATTTATTTTTACTTCTACTCCTGCACCTGAAAAGTGAAAATATACTGATATGAAAGAAGTTGGAGAAATTGGAAAAAAGAATCACTTCTAATTTTGTGTACATGAGAAATTTATGTCAACAATTCAAAATTTTGATGACAGAAAACTCTTAATAAACAATGAGAACAAGTTGTGACAGAAAACATCAGATAGAACAAGGATGCTCATGTGTGAAGTAGAGCTAGAAGGAAAACAAATGCATCAACCACCTTAGTTCAGCCAGATTCTGGTCACCAATATGTCTTCTTTTATGATTCTGTATCTTTAAGCAACAACAAATTACATGTTATATTCTGCTAGTTTTTTGGGTGTTTAGAGGTATTTTTCCTCTTAAATACCAGTTTTGGCTAAGATCCAGTCTCGGAATTCATTCACTTTTGTATAAACTCCAGGCTTATTGACTTGTCCACATTCATCTCCCCAGCTCACTATTCCAACAAGGTACCAGATATCCCTCACATCGGAACCAACCAGTGGTCCTCCAGAGTCACCCTAAAGGGAAGAAAGAGATTAAAAATTAAGAATTTGGTGCATTACAGAGAAATTTTCTATTTTAAGATTTTAATATGAGGTGTTTTTTCACTCTGGACCAAAATTACTTTTATTCTACCCAGTAAGTTCTAGATGACTTGACGGCACATAACAAAAACAACAACTACCCAACAATGTTATTGCTGTTGTGTACCATCGAGTCAGAACCAACCTATAGATGACCCTCCAGTGGATTTTCAGAGGCATTTCATTACATGGGAAGAGATTGATCATCTTTGTTTCACAGGGCAGCTGGTGGATTCAAACTGGATGCTTTCGTGATGGCAGCATAGCTGCTTCCCACTAGCCACCAAAGGTCCCTACTCAATTATAGAGACAATAAAAATCTGCAAAATTTGGATGTTATGAGTTATACACACACACACACACACACACACTGAAAAGTAGAAAGAAGATAGATGGGCTAGGCACCTCTGAATCAAAGAATGACCATCAACTCATCATGGTTTTATATTTGTTAGACTTGGTGCAGAAGTTAGCATCTTGATAAACTGTGACAAAAATAGAACACCAAAACTATTCATTTTCTCTACCTAAATAAACAGAAGATGGGGGTAAAATAAGACTATAGAACACTTTTGGAGAATTGATAACTTCTCTACTGTGATGTAGAGCGGGGGAAAGATACCATACCCCCATCTCCATTCCCATTAACAATGGTCAAGTGAAAAACCTAAACTTTTACTCTCACTGAGCTGCACCAATGACCCATAAGACTGCCATCAAAGGAGGCTAAGTGAGAAAGCAAATAATCATTTCCCATAGATTGTTGTTGTTAGGTGTCATAGAGTGAAGTATGGCTCATAGCAATAGATCTGAACCCTGTCCTATCCTCTGCCAAAATTAACTATTTGTTGTTGAATTGGATCCATCTCATAGCTGACACTCCTGTTGTGTTTCTGAGGTGGTAGATTGCCCAAGAGGAAACTTCCCATTTTTCTCTTACAGAGCTGCAAGTGAATTGGAACTTCTATAGAGACAATTGCTTTTAGGTTAACATTGCAATTTCCTAAAGACTACACTACCAGAGCTCCCTATACAACAAGAAGCCCACTAAAATAGATGTCTTACAGTGGCCAAAATGTCTCCAATGCATTTTAAAATACCTTGTCACATGGATTGGAAAAAAAATAAATATTTGACTAAGAATAATCAATCAAAGATGTCAACACTGACACAGAAGTTTAAATTATCTGTTGAAAATTTTAAAGCAACTATTATACACACATCTAAATGAGAAATTACTATTATGCTTGAAATGAAATAAAATATACACAAAGTCTCAGTAAAGAAACATCAGATAAAAGAGCCAAATTTTAGAAATAAAAGTATAACTAAAATATATATTTCAGAAGATAAGCTCAATAGCAAAATAGTGATGAAATCTAAAAACAGAATTACATTAATTATATGAATATATGATCTGTCCATCAAAAAATAATCACATAAAACAGAAACTCTGAGACTTGTGGGACTATAACAGAAGATAATACTTTTGTTATTGAAATCTCAGAAGGAAAGAAGAAAGAAGACTGAATTGAAACGTACTTAAAGAAATAATTATTAGTAGTTAGCAAATTCGGTAAAAGATATTAACCTACAGATTTAAAAAGCTGTGGAATGTCAGATATTACAAATCCAAAGAAGTCTATACCAAGAAACATCATAATCCAGCTTTTGAAAATTAAAGGCAAAGAAAAAAAATATTGAATGCAGCAATAAAAATTAAAAAAACCTCTAACCTTTGCAGGGAAAAATATTAATTCAACAGTGATTTCTTTTTAGAAAAAATAGAGGCCATAAAGAAGGGACCAGGGAATACTTAAAGAATTTCAGAAGATTTTATTATGCTTACTTTGAAGCTCCATCTCAAACACTTTGGGCATGTAGCCAGGAGGGACCAGTCCTTAGAGAAGGACATCATATTCAGAAAAGTGGAGGGACAGTGCAGGAGTGAAAGACCCTGTATGATATAGATTGATACAGTAACATGGGTACTGGGGTAGGTGTATCTAAATCATTTAACAGAAAGCAAGCAACAAATGCTTATGAGGATGTGGAGAAACTGGAACTCTTATTCACTGTTGGTGGGAATGTAAGATGGTGCAACCATTGTGGAAGGCGGTGTGATGCTTTCTCAAAAAATTGCAAATAGAGATACCATTTGACCCAGCAATCCCATTACTGGGAATATACCCCAGAGAGACCATGTCTGCCATCCAAGCAGATATATGCACACCCAGGTTTATTGCAGCTTTGTTCACAATAGCAAAGAGTTGGAAACAACCTAAGGGCCCATCAACAAATGAATGGATAGAGAAGCTGTGGTATATTCACACAATGGAATACTATGCCGCATTGAAAAACAAGGAACTCATGCAATATTATTCAAAATAGGTGACCCTGGAGGACATTATGCTGAGTGAAATATCTCAGTCACAAAGGGACAAATACTGCATTGTGCCACTGTTGTAGAATGGGTCTGACATCAGGGTTGGGGTATGTCAGAAAAAACTGGATAAATTATATATACTGTATTGAAACAGATGAGGAAAAGAACAGATTAGAGGTGATATATGATTGAGTATTATGGTTAGCATAGGAATCCAGGATTAAGGTTGCATAGAGAAGTGTACTCGGGGTGGGGGTCGGGGGGAAGGGATAGGGGAATTGTATACTAATGAAGGAATTTTTTTTTCTTTTTCTTTTCGGAGAGTGGAGCGAACTGGTGGGGGCGCGGTGGGCAGGGAGAAAAGTGCGGCAATGAATGAATGAAAATCCAAAACCTCTATAAATGTCTATTAAGATTAATCAAAAAAAAAGAAAAAAATATCACTTAGACTGGCTCAGGACAGGGCACAACTTCAGAGCTATTTTACATAGTGTCACTGTGGGTAACAGGCGATTCAATGGCACATAACTACAACATATATTGAGAACCATATTGGACAATTTTTTGTGTCAGTTGTCAAATATAACACAGAAAACTCAACAGAAGAGAAGTATACTATATATTGCCTATAGTTCTACTCTTTCAGTTGTTATTCTCTCCTTTCTAATTATCTAGGATTTCTTCTTTTAACACTTTATTTAGCCATTCTTTAAGGTAGATATGCCAATGGAAACTTTGTTAGGTTTGGTGGGCGTATTTTTTTATGACTAATAATCTTTATTTCCCCTTCATTTCTGAAGGATAATTTGGTAAAACTATAGAATTTCTATAGAAAAATATTGACAGAGCAATGTACACAGAGTGAGCAGGGCAGATGAAATTTGAATGCAAGCCATTGTTAAAATAATTAGTTTGGGAGCCAAAGGATCAGGTAGCCTCAGTGGGGAGCAGCGTGCTTTGGCAGAAAGCAGCAAGCCTTGGCATAGAGCAGCGAGCTGCAACAGGACCCACTTGCCAAGAGCAAGCAGGACAGCAGGAATTTGAGTGAGGTACTTAGGGGTGGGCCACTCTTGATTGATGGTCCACATGGGACCCCTTCACCTTAAGCAGGAGGGACTGGGACAATTAAAGTGCAAATGGGGTGGCAGACCCAGTTCTCAAGGAGAAAACCAAGGCTTCCTATTTTTCCATTCAGATCCCCATGCATGTGCACCCCCCCACCTGTGTAGGTCTACGTGTGTACCTCTCCCCTAGCTTCTGCTTGCATATATGCATGTGCCCACTCAATGTGCAGCAGTGCACCCTCCTGACCAACTAGAAGCACAAAGGATCTATTCAAAGAAAATTACAAAACATTACAACAAGAAACAAAAAAAGACCTGGAGAAATGGAAGAATATACCTTGTTCGTGGTTAGGAAGACCCAATATTGTGAAATTGACAATACTACCAAAGGCAATTTACACATTCAATGCCATCCCAATACAAATACCAATTCCATCCTTCAATGAGACAGAAGAGGCAATCTCCAATTTAATTTTGAACGGAAAGAGGCCCAAATAAGCAAAGCACTACTTGAAAAGAGAAACAAGGTAGGGGGCATCTCACTCCCTGATTTCAATTCCTACTACACTGCTGTGGTGGTCAAGACAGCATGGTACTTGTACAATGACAGACACACATATCAATGGAATAGAATTGAGAACTTAGAAATTACACCATCTTCCTATGATCAGCTGATTTTTGACAAGGAGATGAAATCAGTTAAGGGGGGCAATGAAATCCTCTTTAACAAATGGTGTTAACAAAATTGGAAAAACATCTGTAAAAGCTCAGGTAAGATCCACACCTCACTCCTTACACAAAAACCAACTCAAAGTGGATCAAGGACCTAAGACGGAAACCAAGGACTATAAACTTCGTTAGAGAAAAGATTGGAAGAACTATAGAAATCCTAATCCACAACATAAACAGTCTTCCAAGCATCCTGAAAACCTACAACCAGGAGAGGATAAAACAGATAAACAGGACCTTCTAAGAATAAAACCCCTTTGCATATCCAAAAATACCTCCAACAGGGTAAAAAGGGAAGCCATAGACTTGGGGGGGGGGAAATGGTAATGACATGTCTTGTAAGAGACTTATATCTAGAATTTATAAAATACTCAAGCACAGCAACAAGATAAAGGTAAACAATCCATTTGCAAAATGGGCACAGGATATGAATAGACACTTTACCAAAGAAGACATTCAGATGGCAAACACATGAAAAATGTTCAAAATCCCTAGCTCGAAGAGAGATGCAAATCAAAACAACTATGAGATATCTCACTTCAATAAGAATAGCAAAATTTAACAGAACAGTAAGCAACAAATGTTGGCAATGTTGTGGAGAAAATGGAACCCTTATTCACTGTTGGTGGGAGTGTACAATAATACGACCACCATGAAGGCAGTATGGTGTTTTCTCAAAAAGTTGCAGATAGAAATACAATTTAACCCAGCAACTCTATTACTGGGAATATACCCTAAAGAAACTATAACTGTCACCCAAGCAGGTATATGCTTACTCCCCCTCTTTTTTTTTTGCAGTTTCGTTCACAATAGCAAAGAGGTGGAAACAACCCAATTGCCCATCAACAAACGAATAGATAGAGAAGCTGTGGTATATTCACACAATGGAATACTATGCTGCATTGAAAAACAAGGAACTCATGAAATATTATATAAAATGGGTGACCCTGAAGGATATTATGCTGAGTGAAATACCTTAGTCACAAAAGGACAAATATAGCATAGTGCCACTGTTGTAAAGCAGGACTTACATCAGAGTTGAGGGAAACAAAGAGGGGATAAACAATCTATACTGCATTGAAATAGATGAGGGAGAGTACTGTTTAGGAGGAATATATGATTTAGTATTATTGTTATGACAGGAGTCCATAATGAAAGCTGCATAGTTGGGTGGACTGGGGCGGGGGGAGGTAGGATGGTATAGCAATAATTTTTTTTTATTTTTTTTTACTTTCAAAGAGAAAAGCAGACTAGGAGGGAGTGGTGGGCAGGGAGGAAAGTGTGCAAAAATGAATGAATGAATGAATGAATGTCCAAAATCTGTGTAAACTTTCATTAAAATAATTTTTTAATTTAGTTTGTTTATTTTTCATTTCAATGAACATCTACAGAGATTTTGGAATTCCATTCATTCATTGTTGCACCCTTCTCCCTGCACAAACCCCTCCAAAATAAATTTTTAAAAAGGAGAAAAAAAGGAAAAAGCAGAAAATATTGACACCAGCAGATTCTTGTAAATCGGCTATGTATAATGTAATACCTAGATGAACACAAATAGAAACCCAGAGATCATCAAGATTATTTTAAAAGGAATACCTGATGACCTGGTGTTATATATATATATATTAGAAGAAATTACAATGGAGCTGTTCTTATTCATAACACAGAGAGTTATCGTTGTTCAGAGGCAAATCTTAACAGCCACTAACAACATTGTGGCGTTTGTTGTTGTGTGCCTTCAAGTCAGGACTGACTCAGAGCTGGATGCCCAGTGGGTTTTTAGAGGCTGTAAATCACATGGGAAGAGACCACCCATCTTTCTCTCACAGCTAATGACAATAATGCTTATTTAAGATGTAAGCATTAGAAGAAACTGAGTGAAAGGTGCAATCTTCCCAATTTCTTGTAACTATGTCAAAATTAAAAGAAGAAATAAAGAGAGTAAAAGAAAGAGTGAGAGAATGGGGGGAGGGGAGAAGAAAAGCGAAGTGAGGAGAAAGAAAAGAAAACAAAGGAAAGCTCATTTCATAGTAATAGGCGAAATCACTTGCCTGGCATGCATCTTTATTTCCTGTCAAAAATCCAGCACATTGCATTCTAGGAGTTATGGCACCATTGTAAACTTGAGGTTCATTACATGTTTGAGCATCTATGAGTTCCACCTCCACTTGTCGAAGATGATTTTGACTGTTACCTAATGAAGAAAACATTATCTCTGTATTTATGAATACATACATGTTTTATATATTTGAAGAAAGTCTTACATAATTATTAACAAAGACAATTATGTGGAGTGTTGTTGCTGTTGTTATTGTTGTTAAGCGCCCTTAAACCAAGTAGAACTAATAATGATCCTGTGAACAACAGATATAAACTCTGTCCTATCCTGTACCATTCTTATCATCCCACAGGTATTTGAGTCCATTGCTACACACACTGTATGTATCCATCTTGTTGAGGATCTTCTCCTTCGTTGAGTTTCCACCTTTCCAAGCATTGTGTCCCATTTCAAGGAATAGCCTCTCCTACCAGTATGTCCAAAATATGTGATACAAAGCTTTATCATCCTTGCCTCCAAGAATCACTCTGGTTGCACCTTCTCCAGGATATAGCTGTTTATTCTTTTGGCAGTTTATGGGGTATTCAGCAGTCTTCTTCAACAGCACAACTCAAAGGTATCAATTTGTCTCCTCTTATCCTTATTCATTTTCCAACTCTCAGATGCATAGAAGAGGACTGGAAAGACTGTGTCTTTAATCTGGCACACTTTTCAGGACTTTGGAAAGATTCCTGACAGCAGGCTTGCCCAATGCTGTATGTCTCCTGATCTCCTAACTGCTGATATCTAGGACACTGATTGTGGATACAAGCAAGATTATCATTGGCAATTTTAATATTTTCTTTAATATTTTAATATTATAATAATATTTGCATATATTGACCCAGTGGTGGGGATTTTTGTTTTCTTGATGTTGAAATGTAATCTATATTTAAGGCTGTAGTTCTTGATCCTCTGCAGCAAACCCTCATGTCTTTCTCACATTCAGGAAGTAAGGTTGTGTCATATGCATAATACACGTTGTTGGTGAGTCTTCCTCCAATCCTGATTCCACACTCTTCCTAAAGTCCAACTTCTCCAATTATTTGCTCAGCATAGAGATTGAATATATACGGAGAAAGGACAGAGCCATTAACACATATATTTCTCACTTTTAAGAGTTGCAGTGTTTCCTTGCTCTGTTCGGAAAACAATTTCTTGGTCTAAGTATAGATTTCATATAAGCATAATTAAATGTTCTAGAATTCCCATTCTTCTCAATTCTAGTCATTGTTATGACTGACATAACCAAATACCTTTGCATAGTCAATAAAATACAAAAACGTCTAGAATAGCACATTTAAAAAGCTAGAAATTCAAGCTGGATTTCAAAGAAGACCGTGGTAGCAGGGATATCACTGCTCATGTCAGATGAATTCTGGCTGAAGGCAGAGAATACCAGAAGAAAGTGTACTTGTGCTTCATTGACTATGAAAAGGCATTTAACTGTGTGGATCATAATAAATATCAGCTAAAATTGAGAACAATGAGAATTCCAGAACACTTAATTGTGCTCCTTAGAAAACATAAAGTTCAATAATAGTGCCTGACATTGACCAGTTTCATACAGCAAGCAATCAGATTGAAATAACAAATAACAGTACCTCATTTTTTAAATGTATTGTTGTTGTTATGTATGAAATTGACTCACAATTGATCTGCCAAAGTGGGTTTTCTGAGGCTGTAAATAGCACACAAGAAAATTGTTTGTCTTGCTCTCACAGAGAGAGATTTTATTTGAGCCTTAAGGTTGGCAACACAATTCCTTACCCACAAGACTACCAGTGCTCCCATAAAATGCATTAGAATACCAGAGTTACATTACTGTAGCTTGAGTCTCTGTTCAGATGCTCACCATCATTTTGCAGAGCTCCAAATCCTGTCACAAACACATTATCACCTGGCTGGAACTCATGGGAAGCATCAGGAAGACAAACTTTATGTACAGCATTTGTGTAAGGAACAGGTCTGGAAAGTTCTGCAAGAGCAATATCATAGTCATGTGATGGATATTTGTATTTTTCATGGACAATTATTCTTTTGAGGTTTCGTGGCATTTTTGGTGGCTTTAGTGTTACTCCAAAGGAAGCTGTCCATCTCCTCGGATCTTTATACCTACAGAGAACAAAAAAAAAAAGAAAGGAATAAATTCTACATTACCTTGCCACCTTATTAACAACTTAATTTATGGTGGTGGTGGTGTTATTGTTGTTGTTATATGCCATTGAGTCACCTGTGACTCATAGTGACTCTGTGTACATTAGCTGTGAACCCTGCCATGTCCTAAGTTAATTTCATTATCTCTGACAAACCTAATCTCATTTCCCCAGTCACTAAGTCAATCCTTCTCCTCTTGGGTTTTCCTCTCCTGTGCTGACTCTCACCCTTCCAAGTAAGATGTCCTTCTCCAAGGATGGTCGCTCCTGGCCATGTGCCCAAAGTATGTGAGATGGAGTTTCAAAATCCTTGCTCCCTAGAAACAGCTTGTTTTCACTCTCTCTAAGACAGACCTGTTTGTTCTCCCTGTAGTCCATAGTATGTTCAACAGTATTCATCAGCACCACAACTCAAAGGCATTGATGATTCTTCTATCATCTTTAGTTATTGTAGAGCTCTCCAGTGCATACCAAGTAATTGCAAAGACTGTGGCCTGGATCAGTCTCCAGATTGACATCATCGTTCTTCAGTACACTAGAGAGGTCTATGACATCAGACTTTCCCAATGCAATTCATCTTTTAGTTTCCTGACTGCTGGTGCAAAATAGTGTTGACTGTGGAACCAAAGATGCTGAAGTTGTTAACAATCTCAACCTCTTCACCAACTATCATGAAGCTGTCAATTGGCCCAGTGGTAAGAATCTTTGGTTTTTTGATGTTGAACTTCAGTTCATAAGAATGCAGTTCTTGACATTCAGCAGCAAACGTCTCATGATCTTCTCAGTTCAGCAAGCAAGGTTATACATCTGCATTGCATAGGTTGTTGATGAGTCTTCCTCCAATCCTGCTGCCACATTCTTCCTCATAAAGCCCAACATCCTGAATGATCTGTTTTGCAAACAGATTGAGAATGTATAGAGATTGGATGTATCCCTGACACACACATTTACTCGTCCTGAACCATGCACTGTTTCCGCGCTCTGTTCTGACTACTTCTTCCTGGTCCAGGTATAGGCTTTACATAAACACAGTTAAGTATTCTGGGATCTCCATTCTTCTCAAGGTTAGCCATAAATTGTGATCCACGCAGTCAAATACCTTTGCACAGTCAATGAAACACAGATAGACACTCCTTTTTTATACTCTGCTTTCAGCCAAGATCCATCTAGCATTGGTTATGATGTCCCTAGTGCCATGGGCTCCTCTAAACCCAACTTTCACATCTGGAAGTTCTCTGCTAATGTACTGTTTCAGTCCTTTTCAGATTATTTTTAGCAGGATCTTGCTTGATTGAGATATTAGTTACATTGTTCAATAATTTCCAACTTCTATGCATATTAGCTCCGAACTCTGCCCTATCCTAAACCAATCTTATTGTCTCTAACAGACCTAATCCCATATTTGCAGTCACAGAATCAATCCATCTCATCTCTGGTCTTTCTTTCGTGTGCTGGTGCTCCACCCTTCTGAGCCTGATGTCCCTCTCCAAGGACTGGCCCTTTCTTGCCACATGCCCAAACATGTCATTGACTTGGGACTGACTCACAGTTTACCCTCCAGAAGTTTTTTAAAGTATATAAATCACATGGAAAGAGATGCCTATCTTTTTCCCGTAGAGCAACTTGTGGACTCCAATGATGTACTATTGGAATAACAGTGCAACTCTAACAGATAGAAATGTGTAGATATATGACTATCAGCCATTCCATGAACTATATAGCAGGACAAACTATCTTATTGAATTATTTGCTACTTCCAAATTTCTTCATACTGAGCTCATCTTTCTTGCTATATGCAAGTCCCCAATTAGACTCTAATCCACATTACTGGCAGACGTGGAAGGACATGTTTGAACAGGTAAGTAAAACTCCTTCAAAGATAACTTTACTTCCCATGATAATCTACTAAATATTTATAGTCTATTTATCTCTATATCTATCTATTGGTCTCACTTATATTTCCAAACAAAACTTATAATGTTTATACAAGTTTTCAACTCTCTTTGTGATTATTATACATTCTTTCATTTATGTTAAATTTATCTCTTTCAAATTTGATGATATTTCTTTCCTTCTGGATCCCCAGTTTGCTTAGCTTAATGATGACTCCATTGTAATAGCCAAGACTTACACTCTAAAGCAGTGAGCAGCACTCACAAGCCATGTGCTATTAATTAAAGTGGCTCCACAGCGATGGATTCCATCCCATTGTAGACTAGCTTGCCAAGGCCATTCACCCTCTTCTACCTCTGTTCCACCAACAATCCGGACACTTTCCCTGGTAGATTTATTCCTTCGTGTTCCACAACCTGTCAAAGAAAGAGGATTCATTAATTAGAACTTGTTTATAAGCAGAAAAGAAGTGTTACTATGTCCCATATTTTTCTTACTTTATGCACCAAGAAAAAATAATTAACTAATTAATTCATTAGCTAATTAAGTAATTTCATTATTAGACATGTTGCATTGGGGAAATCTAACACCTTTGAGCTGTGGTGTTGGAGAAGAGCACTGAATGAACATCCATGGATGGCCAAGAGAATGAACAGATAAGTCTTGGAGAGGGTGTAGTTAGAGTACTTTTTGGCTGCAAGAATAATGGAGTTTACATTATTATGCCTCACATACATTGGACACATTGCTAGGAGGTGTTCCCTAGACAGGTACATGATTTTGGGAAGGGTAGAGGGTCAGAAAAGTAGAGGAAGACCCTCAACCAGGTGAATTGACAAGGTGACTGCTGCAATGGGCTCTTGGGTGTCGGGAAGTATGAGGAAGGTGCAAGACAGGACTAGGTTCAGATCTTTGGTTCATTGGATCACTATGAGTCATACTTGACTCAATGGCACCTACAAATCTATATCTATCTCTATATGTATAGCATCTATATCATCGTCTATATCATCACCTATATCATCATCTATATATCTCTATATCATCTCTATCTCTATATCAATGTGTATATCATCTATATCTATATCTATCTATATATCTCTATACTCTCTTGGTATTACTAATTTTTACATTGATGCTTCATTTAATTAATTGACTCCTATTGGTCTTTTAGGGGCCTTAGTGGAGCTCTACTGGCATTGTGGTAAGAAACTGTGCAGCAATCCCAAAAGCACACAGTTCAAATTCCATCATCTGCTCCACAGAAGAGAGATGAGCAATCTCCTCCTGTGTGATTAACTGCCTCTGAAAACTTGCTGGAGCATCAGCAATAGATCAGTTCCCACTCGACGGTACACAACAACAGTGGCCTAATGGTAAGAAGATGTACTGCCAACCTGAAGATACATTTTTCAAATCCACCAATTGCTCTTCAGGGGTAAAAATGGGCTCCCATGCAATTTACCATCTCCTGCTGGAGATTCAGCTATGTGCTGGTTATGACCTTATGGCAGTGAGTGAGTATTATTAATAAAGATATACTAAAAAGGCAGGCAGTTGTAGAGTTGATGATGTATATTGATGAAAATACTAACAGCCTGGATAATATCTTTATTTACATTTTAAAAGTACCACAACTGGAGAGCTCTGGTAGCCTGGTGTCAAGAAGGTGCACTGCAATCCCAGGGGTACTGGGTTCGAATCCACCAGATGCTCTGCTGGAGAAGGAGGGACAATCTCCTCCTGTACCAGTCAGATCCAATTTGACGATACACATATAAAAAGTAATTAAAAAAATTTTTTTAAAAGTACCACAACTGAACCACCAGAGAGATTTGGTGGCAATCTAATTCTCTTTGGACTACACCGCCAGACCCCCAGAATTCCGCAGAATTCTAGGTTTCTTATTAATAATATCAAGAATTTTTAGTGACACATTTATTTCTCTAGGTGAAAAATACCAACACACACATTGTTGTTGTTATTGTTGTTAATTGCCAATCAGTTGTAATTAACTCATAGCGACCTTATGAACGAAAGTCCTCAACACTTGGGTGGCTTTCATCCTTTCTCCAGGTTCATAGGGATTCCAGAGGCACGCTATTATGGAAGTGGTTACCGCTCCTGCTTCCAAGCTTGTTTCAATTGGGAAGCTCCATCAAACACTGTCCACCATGGATAACCATTATCGCATTCGACACATCAGTGTCACAATGTTCAGCTTCACAGCAACCACAAGTTACCTCTGTATGGCAAGTGGACACACCAGAGCTATACGACCTAGAAGAATGTTTGACTAAAAACAATTAAAAACATTCCTGAGGGCCGCAGGCCAGAGGATCCTACTGTATTTTACCATTCCAGCATGTCCAAATGCTGGCTAACTCTGGGCCAGAGACCCCCAATTCATCTGGAACGTCCACTCTGCCGACACCTATTTGGGGCAAAAAGAAAGTCACAAGTGCCCTAAGCATTCCATACTTGCCTCTCTTCAAGACATAAGAGGCCACATCCAGCTGAAACTGAGATTCATGAGACACTCAACACATACATTAGCTGTGTATAATTTATAGAAAACTTCTGTAAGACTTTAAAGTTATTATCTCCAGTCAGAACACTGAGAAGTGAATATTTTGTACTTGATTTCTGATTAAGAACTCTGGTGGCCTAGTAGGTAGGAGTGGAACTGTCAACCTAAAGACACATGGTTTGAATTCACTGGTTCTACTTTACCAGGGAAGACGGGCAATCTCTGTCTTGTGATTTATTACCCCTGAATACCAAAACCCACTGGAGGCTCAGCTATAAGTTGATTGACTAAAGCACATAACAACTCTGATAATGCCATAATTACTTTCCACCACGTATCTGCCACAGGCTCCTAGACATCCACTCCAAAAGTTAGTCAGTTTTGTCTTTCTTTTATAATAAAGTATTGCCAGGATTGACCAGTCTTTGGAGAATGACATCATGCTTGGAAGGGTGGAGTGACAATACAAAAGAGGAAGACCCTGGATGAGATGGATTGACTCAGTGACTGGGGTAATGGGGGCGGGGAGGGGGGGTAAGTGGGTTCATTGTCTCCAGATATAGCAGGGTTCAGAGCAGTTGTACATAAGGTCACTATGATTTGGAAGTGACTCAATGGCACGTAACAACAGAGATACAAAAAGCACTATAATATTCATACACATTACCACTGAGTCAGAACCAACTCATAGCAGACCCTCTATTAGGTTCCTGAGGCTGTAAATCACACAAGAAGGTATTGTTCATCTTTCTCCAATAGAATGCCTGCTGGATTTGAACTACCAGGGAGGTGTGACCTTCGCCTTAGCAGTTCAACTCCCTATGGCTTAGGCCACCAGAGCTCCCTAAAACACTAAGAGCTGTATACAAAACAAAGAAAAATTAATCCATTCGGTCTCTGTTGCTAAAGCAAAATAAGTCTGATCTAGAGTGTTCAATTTTTATAATGTATAATACAATTTTAATAAGAAATGTCTTGAACTTACAGCTGTTCAGATAGTTGTCTGTTTCTGTCTTGTTGATTTCTGAAACAAAAATAATTAATTAAAAATAATTAATCATTGTTTCCTTTAAAATAATTAATTTTAAAAAGTAACTAATTAAAAATAATTCTGTTCAACATAACAGAATTTCATTTTACCTCTGAATAATTCAAATACTAAAAAGCTGCTTAATTCCATCAATTCATTCTAGCTTATTAATGGAGCAGAAGTTTATCACCGTTTATGAAGATTAACAACAGCTCTAGTTATTAAAAAAATACAGTTTATTATAGACATAGTATGTTCAGTACTTGAGAGGGAGGGAGACTTGGGCAGTATTTCTCAAATATCGTTTAGATCAGAATCAAATGAGGCATCTTTATAGCATAAACTCCTGTTTCCTTGTATCAATAATTCTGTTTCAGGAAGTAATTCTGATCCTGGTGTTGAAGCCTAGAAATACATAATTTATATTAGGACATAAAATGCCAGTAATACAGTCAACCTGTGGGAAATACCTACCTAATACTTTGTACTGATCATACAAAGGTAATGATATTGTCACTGACCATTCTTTTGAATTATTTTCATAAACTCATAGTCATATTACTCTTTGTAAAATTGTAAAAAGAGCAAGGGTCATATGAGGACAAACGTATCTGGCTTTTATCAAGCTTCTGAAGGGGAACTGTCCCCGTTAACAGCATCAACCAATTTTCATGAAGTCAGTCATGTTCCCCAAGCTCCCCATACCTGTTTCTATCCATCTCAACATCAACCTTACTGCTTCACTAGGTCCAAAATCCAACATGATAGCTCACAGACAACACAGAGCCATGCTGGGAAAGTCATAAGCTTATAATCTGGGTTAGTAGCAGAATACATTCAGGACCACTTCTGAAATGTACTCACAAGTACCTCTGTCTTGAGCACCATGGCTTTTGAGCAGTGTTACGAAGTTCTTAGTTCTGTCAATATTGACTCCCTCCACCTCTCCTAGTTGTTCAACAAACTTGGGCAAAGGCTCTTAGTTTAGCTCTGGTTCTGTCTGTGGGGGTTGCAATCAGTTCTGTCTTTTCTTCTACAGAGATGATGCAGGTTCATGCTGTCCTTTCTGATAGCAGCTGTGCTCTAATTAATGTGCAACTACAGACATTTTGGGTGTGTTGGGTTAAACATAGACATTCTTGAAATCATTTCATGTGTTTATATTTAAATAATATGGCTACTAGAGAATTTAAATGCACACATATAGCTTGCATGTATACAGATCAGCACTACTATATGTGGCATCTGATTGACTCTACCCTTTATCAGATCTTTGTGTTTCCTCTGAGGGACTCACACAAATTATAAAATAATCAAAGGAAAGAAGCTATAAAGTACATTAATGGCACAGCTTCTTCAAAGGCAAATGTAAGTAAAATATGTACCTTTCCACATATATTGCAAACTCAGAATATATAATGGAAGCACAAACTGGTGAGCACATCTGGGACAGCATCTGTTGAAACATATCAATTGGTAAACCATCAATTCCTGGGGCCTTATTTTTGCCAATTCTTTCAGAGCAGCTTGAACTTCTTCCTTCATCACCACAGGCTCTTGTTCATACGTTGTTTCATGAAATTCTTCTGTGTCTGCCAATTTCTGTGGGCACAATGACTCTATATACTCTTTCCATCTTCTTTTAATACTTCCTGGATCACTTAATATGCTGCCCAAAGAATCCTTAAGTATTGCAACACGAGGTCTAAATTTGTCCTTCAGCTTAGGAAATGCTAAGCAAGTTCAGCCCCTTTGATTTTCTGACTCCAGCTCCTTGCACATTTCATTACAGTACTTTTTCTTTCTATGCTACCCTTTGAAAGCTCCTAAATATTTCGTTTTATTCCCTCTGCTTAAGCTCTTTTGCACTCTAGTGCAATATTCAGAATATCTTTTGACATTCATTTTGGTTTTTCTTCCTCTTCTGTCTTTGTAATGACCTTTTGCACTCTTCCTGGATGATATTCTTGATATCCTCCCATAACTCATCTGGTCTTTGTTCATTAGAGTTCACGGCCTCAAATCTATTCCTGAAATGGTTCTGAAATTCAGGTGGTATAGACTCAAGATCATATTTTATTTCCCATGGATTTGATTTAATTTTCCTTAGCTTCAGCTTGAACTTGAATATGAGTAGTTGGTGGTCTGTTCCACAGTTAGCACCTGTCCTAGTTTTCACAGCTGATATTGAACTTCTCCAGTGGTTCTTTCCACAGATGTAATCAATCTGATTACTATGCACACCCTCAGGTGAAATCCAGGTGTATAACCTGCGTTTACGTTTCTTATAAAACATATTTGCGATGTTGATTTTTCCAAACTCAACCATTCTATCTCCAGCTTCATTTCTGTCACCAAGTCTATGTTTCCCAACTACTGATCCTTCTTCTATCTCCACCAAAGTACTAAAGAGCAATGATGTCAGTCTGGAGACTAAGGTGCACCTGATACAGGCCATAGTCTTTGCAATCACTTGTTATGCATCAGAGAGATGGACCATAACTAGGGATGATAGGATAATTGATGCCTTTGAGCTGTGGTGTTGGAGAAAAGTGTTGAATATACAATGGACTGCTAAGAGAATGAACAGGTTCATCCTGAAGAGGATTAAGCCAGGCTGTTCCTTGGAGGCAAAAATTCTGAAGCTTAGTCTGATATACTTTGGACATGTTTTAAAGGGGGGGGGGCTAGTCCTTGGAGAGGAACGTCATGCTTGGAAGGGTTAAGGGACAGCCCAGGAGAGGAAGACCCTCGATGAGATGAATTGATCCAGTGACTGGGGTAATGAGAGTTGGTGTGTCAGAGACAATGAGATTGGCACAGGATAGAGCAGGGTTTATGGCTGTTGTACATTGCATCACTATGAGTCACCAGCAACTCGATAACACATAACAACAACAATGGAAGCAGGCAGAAAAATAAGAGGAAAATACAAAACTCTTGTCCCCATCTATAGCTAAAATAATGTGGATGTGGTGGCTCAGTAGTAGAATTCTCACCCTCTATGCAGAAGATACCCTCTGCAAATCCACCAAATATCTGACAGTGGAAGTTTTTGTGGTGATATGAAAAGATTTCAGACAGATTTGGAGAATAGATATGGTGATTTGCTTCCAAAAGAAGCAAAGGATCAAAGAACATTTCATTTGTTCTATGAGGTCACATACACAATGGAAGCTGATTCAACAACCGGTAACAACAACACAGTTAAAAATAAAGCCCAACACACACACACACACACAAAATAGATAAGATCCAAGAATCAATAACAGTCATTCAAGGAAGGCATAAACTTAAGGTAGCTTTGAAAAAGAGAATATTTCATTAGTAACGATTCTGGGGCTTCGTCTGACATACTTTGGACATGTTGTAAGGAGAGACAGCTCTTTAGAGAGGGACATCATGCTGGGTAGAGTGGAGGGACAGCGCAGGACGGGAAGACCCTCTATGAGGTAGATTGATTCAGTGACTGGGGTACTCGGGATGGGTGTGTCAGAGGCAATGAGATTGGCACAGGATAGAGCACGGTTTAGGGCTGTTGTACATAGGTTACCTATGAGTCGCAAACGACTCGACGGCACATAACAACAACAACAATTAGTTTAACTCCAAACTAATAACGAGACTCCAGAAATAAACATATTTTAAGATACCTAATATCAATTTGGCATTTATATGTAAGAAAAATAAAACAAATAAGCTTATTCTTACTTTTAATTTCCACTGATTCAGGATCTACTTTAGGAGGTCCTACTGCTTCTTGTAACTTCTCATGTAGAATATGCTCAATGTTTTTATTTATGTTGTCAGTATCCTCAGTAGAGCGAAATCTAAAAATTAGCAGCATATGAGCCAGAATCCCATAATCTTCTTTACTGTGAATTAGTGAAAAAGGAAAAAATGACGTTTTAAAGATATAACCCAGAGTACAAAATGCAATTTGAATTTTCATTCATGAAAGCATACACAGACATGCAAACAAAAACATAAAACCAATTTCTTTTCCTTTATATTACTGTTGTTGCCTAAATAGAGAATCCATTTTCAGTTTAAAGTCCTTAAAATAAACTTGCATGCTTGTTGTCTCCTTATCACCAAGAAGCCTAGGTAAGTACATGCTTGTTAATTTATAGCCAAGAGGGAAAGGAGTGAATTCCTCTTGTCAATCATTCAAAATTATCAAATATAATGCACAATGAATGTAAATTTAACTGTAATTTTTACTTTCAAGTATAATTCCCCATCATTTAAGTCTAAAGATCTTTCCTGAGCAATCTTCAGACTCTTTGAACATCATTAATTTGTATTAATCTTACATGATTATACTCTCAAGTCTCAGTGTTAGTTATATAGGTACCATCTCCTTGAGAACAAAGGGATTTAAGGAACATTTTTTACTTTCTCATTTTCTGCTGGCTATTTTTCGCTTTTTTCTCATGTACAGCTGTCAAAGAGCCTATCTCCTAACTAATAAGTGTAATCACTCCCTACTGTTTTTAATTGTAAAGGAGAATGTTAATTAGAACCTTATCTTTGGAAGGCACTTTGGTGGATCTATTATCAATTTGAATATCCATACTCTGATGTATCATTTCCACTTTTAAGGATTTAATCTTCAAATGCAATTCAATTCACCATCTCTAAAACTGACTCTATGATTCCAATAAATATATTGTTCTTCCTATTGTAGTAATAAGAACAATAATAAGGAGAACCAAAAGAAGAGCACTGAACATCCCATGGACGGCCAAGAGAACAAACAGATATGTCTTGGAGAGGCTGCAGCCAGAGTGCTCTTTGGAGGCAAGAGTGACATACTTTGGTCATGTTGCTAGAAGGTTCTATTCCTTGGAGAAAGACATAATGTTAGGAAGAATGGAGGGTTGGGGAAGGAGAGGAAGACCCTCACCAAGGTGAATAGACATGGTGACTGCTGCAATGGGCTCTTGTGTGTCAGGAAGTGTGAGGACAGCACAGGATAGAACAAGGTTCAGATCATTTATTCACAAAGTCTCTATGAGTTGTACTCGACTTGATGGCATCTAACAACAACAACAACACAAGGCTAGAGTGTTTTTGAGTGCTGAGGAAAACTGGACAGCGTTTCGGAAGATAAATTTAATACCCATTCCCAATGCTTTCAAGCCTTTTCTGAATCATTGTGATCCTATCAAACAGAGTAGAACAGTCATAGAGGCATTCCAGAGCTGCATTCTTTACAGAAACCAACTGCTGCTACATCTTTCTCTCAGAACAGCTGGTATATTCAAATCATCTACGTTTCAGTTAGCATCTGGGCATTTAACAACTGTGTCACCCGGGCCTCAATAAAATCGATAGTACTTAGTTATTCATAGCATTTAAGAGACTGAGAAAGGAGGGGTGGGGGGAGTATGATGGCTTTTAGAGATCTCATAGGAGGGATTAAACCCTTCCTTATTAGAGGATTTCATCGACACTTTCCTGCACATGGAGATGGTATATCTATCCACGGGCAGGCATTTCTATCTCATTTGACATCCAATCAGAACTGGCTCATAGTTGACCTTCTAGTAGGTTTCTGAGGCTATAAACGACATGTGAAAAAATTTCCCATCTTTCTAATCATCAGAGAGGTGCAGTCTTTAGGTTAGTAACACAATTCCCTAAAGATTACTTCACCAGAATTCACTATGGACAGAAACAGTCTTAGATATCAAGGAAATAATTCCAAATGATCAAGTAAATAACTCTAAATATTATAGACTTGGATTTCTAACATCTTTGAGGATGATACTGGATTCTAACATAATTGAGGATTTCTGATATCATATAAGGCTGAGTGAGGACACCTTGAAAAAAGTGAACATGTAAAGATCAGAGAAATAGATGGAGATCCAACAGTGATGTCCTAAAGACCACACACTACTGAACTTTCAAGAGAAAATAATCAAAATAATACTTCACAGAAAGAAGTCCTCCAAGTAATGGATGGAGACAAACAAATAACTCTGAGATTTCTGTCATTGAATTGATATTGAAAACAGTTCTTGTTCTTTTTATTCTACTTTTTATAAACTACAAATAAGGTGTGCTAACAAGTAAGCTAATTAAACCTCTGTTGTTACTAAGTGTCGTTAAGTTGTTTCTAACTCATGGCAATCCTTTATACAGCAATAGGAAAATGGACTATTCCTGAACCATAGTATTTTATTTAAAATATCCTCTGCATAAGACCATTATTGTAAAAATAAAAGGCTAACTAGTAAGAGGTGTACGAAAATCCAAAGTGGGAAAGGGTGGGAGCAGGTAGGCTGAGGATAGGAACGGGAAAATCACAGCGTGGCAGAATTTAGTGGGTGAATTTAGTGGATTTGGGGTGAAGGAATTAGGAAAGATACAATTGTGACCTGAAAATATGAGGTAATGGTAGGCATAGATTAATGGTGATTAATTTTATAAAATGTAATTTATGAGAATGATCATATGAAACACAATGAGAATGAAGGAATGTGTGAAATGCAATGTATATGAATGAAATACAATGCATGCTAATTTTGTATGTGAACCAATATAAAAGTAAACAACATCAACATTTTCAAATATGCTCTAAATTTGTCTGTTTATTAGTAGTGGATCATTAAAACTAATGTCATCTCAACTAAATATTTGGAGTAGGAAGAAATGAAATGAGAGAAAACAAAAAAAATCAATAAAGAGTCAAAAGCTAAAGACAAATCACATCTGTAACACGGTTTTACATAGGGTAATACAAAGGTGATCCCAAAGAGTGCAGAAATTATTGAACAATATTGTTAATTAAACATGCAAGCAAGATTATGTTGAAATTATCCAAACACAACCGGAGCAGTATCTAGACAGAAAACTGCCAGATGTGTGGTCTGGGTTTAATAAAGACTGTGGTACTAGGTATATTGTAGCTACTGTTAGATGAATTTTGGCTGAAAGCAGAGAGTACCAGAGGAATGGCTAGGTTTCATTGACTATGCAAAGCATTTCACTGTGTGGATCGCAACAGACTGTGACTGACTCTGAAAAGAATGGGAATCCCAGGATATTTGATTGTGCTTATAAGAAACCTATACTTGGACCAGGAGGCAGTCATTAGAATAGAGAAAGGAAACACTACATGGTTCAAAATCAGAAAGAGTGTACTCCAGAGATGTGTAATGCCTCCATACTTTTTCACTCTATATGCAGAACAGACCATCCAGGAGGCTGGGCTATCTGAGAAGAAATGTGACATCAGGATTGGCAAAAGGCTCATCAACAGCTTGTGTTATGCAGATGACAAAACCCTGCTTGCTAAAACTAAGGAGGACCTGAAGCACTTGCTGCAGAAGGTTGAAGACTGCAGCCTTCAATACGGGTTGAAGCTCAACATCAAGAAAAACAAAGATTCTCACCACTGCACCGATTGGCAACATTATGATAGTTGGTGAAGAGAAAGATTGTTAACAGCTTTAGTTTGCTTGTCTCCACCATCAACAGTCTTGCTACCAGCAGCCTGGAAATCAAGAGATGAATTGCATTGGGAAAGTTAGCTGTCAGGGACCTCTCTAGAGTACTGAAGAGCAACAATATCAGTATGGAGACTAAGGTGTACCTGGTCCAGGCCATAGTCTTTGCAATTGCTTGCTATGCGTCATAGAGCTGGACAATGACTAGGGATGATAGAAAGAGAATTGATGCCTTTGAGCTTTGGTGGTGGAGAAGAGTATTGAATATGCCATGCACTGGTACGATAACAAACAGGTTTATCCTGGAGAGGGTGAAACCAGGCTTTTTCTTGGAAGCAAGGAATCTGAGACTTCATCTGACATACTTTGAGCATGTTGCAAGGAGTGATCAGTCCTTGGAGAGGGACCTAATGCTTGGAAGGGTGGAGGACAGAGAAAGAGAGGAAGACCATCGATGAGCTGGATTAATTCAATGACTGGAGTAATGAGGGCAGGTGTGTTAGAGACAGTAAAGTTGGCACAGAATAGAGCAGGTTTCAGGGCTATTGTATGGAGGGTTGCTTTGAGTCTCAAGCAACTCAACAGCACATAATAATAATAACAAGTATATAGGGTACAAAGAATGTGAGCTAGGTCTCTACTTCTCCTAGTTAAGAGTTTTCCAAAGGACAATTCTAAAGTGTAGGCACCGACTAGATTTCTTACCCTAGTGATCATCATATAAATGCTTCCTTTTGAGCATAGAGAACAACTAAACTATATAGTACATATTGTTAAAAGTGCTCAGCTGCTATTCAAAGAAGTGGAGATTTTAATACACTCGACTGTAGCTGGAAGCCCTCCTAACAACATGCCCGATTATGTGAGACAAAGTTTCACCTTCCTTGGTGCTTTCTGGAACAGCAAGATTGCACTTCCTCCAAGATATTTGTTTTTCTTTTGGCAACTCATGGCATTCTTTACCAGTATCATAACTCAAAGGTATCAATCACTTCATCTTCAGTCATGTTTGTTCTTTGCTCAACTTTCTGATGCAAAAGAAGCACTTATAATGCCATGGTTTAGATCAGGCACATCCTGGCTTTTAAATTGACATCATTGTTATTTAGCACTTTGGAGAGTTCCTTAACAGCACATTTTCCCATTGTAGCACATCTTCTGATTTTTCAACTGCCATTTTTCAACAACCATGGGTGTTAACTGTGGATCCATGTCAAATGAAATCATAGACAACTTTTTCTTTATTCGTCATAATGTTGTTTATTGGTCCAGTGGTGAGAAATTTTGTATTCTTGCTTTTGAGATGTAATCCATATTATACTGTAGTCCTTGATCTTCTGCAATAAGTATTTCAAGTCTTCTATACTATCTGTAAGTCAGGTTGCACCATCTGTATAACACAGGCTGTTGATAAGTCAATCTGTGTCACATTCTTCTTAATATAGTTGAGTTTATAAAATTATTTTCTTAGCATGCAGATTGAATAAGTATGGAGAAAGGATATATCCTTGAAGCATACCTTGCCTAATTTAATAAACACTTCTTGGTCTATGTATTTTTAGTCATATTATAGCTCATAACTTACTGAAGGTGGTTTACAACATAAAACTTTAAAAAAAAAATCTATTATTAACCAAGGTAATAGCTTTGGGGCTTTTTAAAATTATATTCAGAAATTGTAATTTAGTTCAACATACCTGAACTTAATAACCTGAGACTTGACAAACTCTTCTTTTAATGGAGACTTACGAAATGCATTTTTCACCTGTTTAAAAATATTTAAAGTATATAAATGAGAACAATTTTCTGAAATTCTGAAAGTTAATTCAAAACTTAAAAAAAAACAAACCCTACAAACATTTCACAATAGTTGAGCTTGAGGAATATTTCTTGATATTATAACAGTGATTCCCACTGAACATTACCCTAGAAATTGTAGGATCTGGGGACTTCAGTGGTAGATAGAGAAAGAAAATGGAGTTGTTGTACCAAATGGTAAAAAAAAAAAAATTTTAAAAAAATCCCAAACCTCAAAACTCACTGCCATAGAGTTGAAACTTACCTATAGCTGATCCGCCAGTGGGCTTTCAAGCAGTAAATCACATGGAAAAAGACTATTTATCCTTTTCCTGTGGAACTGGTATCCTGGATTTGAACTGTGTATCTTTGGGATTGCAACATAGATCACCAGAGCTCTCTTACCAAGCAACAGTTGGGCTAAGTATACAAATATACTAAATAAATATACATATATACTAATATAGGGAGTTCTGGTGGCTTAGAGGCAAGGAGCTGCACTGAAATCCCAAAGGCATATTGGTCAAGGCCACTAGCTGCTCAGCGGGAAAAGGATGGGCAATCTCCTCCGTGCAATTTATTGCCTCTGAAAATCTGCTGGAAGGTCAGCTATAGGTCAATTTGCCACTCCACAGTACACAACAGGATGATAGATGATAGATAGATAGAGATAGATAGATAGATAGATAGATAGATAGATAGATAGATAGATAGATAGATGATAGATAGATAGATAATAGACAGCTAGATTACAGAGAGAGAGAGATGGGCAGAGAGAGAGATGGAGAGAGAGCATTTCAGCACACAAAAATATCGTACAAAAAGCTAATCTAGCAGAGGGATGAAGATTGGTGTGGGATAATCATAGAGTTGCATAATTTGAAGGGTGGAGAAAGGGTTAGGATAAGGAAATGAGAAAGACCTGGTGTGAAAAACAATGTATACGAACTTTGTAAGTAAACTAGTATAAAAGAAAAAAAATTTAAAAAAGAACAACTCTCATGATGGTTGAAATATAAGAAATCCTTATACTATTCTCATTATATTCATGTATATTTGAAAACTTCTATAACAACATGTTACAAAATAATATTAAAATAATTCCAGTAATAAAATAAATAAAATTTTTTAAAAGGCTGATCTGAATTAAAAACCTTGCACCAACACCTCTTAGAAAGCTTACTCTTCATAGAGTGTAAGAATATATTTGGTGACAATATTTCTTACTGCTGAAAGTAAGAATCCTAGCCAAAGTTGTTTGGTGTTATTTTTTAAAATTAAATATCAAAATAAGAAAATACTTCAAGATTGTCTTGTTTTCAATGTGCTTTTGCTGTTTACTAAAAATAAATGGCTACTACCAACAACTTAGTGACTAATAAAAATAAGCCTTATATTCTTTAAATGTCTTTAAAATTAAGGTCAGTTTCTATAGTTATGAGATGAACTCTAATAATTCAAGCTTGTCATTTAAACAGAATTTTTCTGAACAGGTAACAGTATACTACTACTAGGAAAAAGTCTTGAAATTATCTAATATGATTAAGCAGTATTCCAAATGATGCACAGCTTGCTGGTAGAAGGTACTAGAACGTAGTATTCTGATTTTTAAGCCAATGTTCTTTTCATACAACTAGTACCCTTTTCACAAATTACCAGAATGAGTTTCTGTTAGTAATCTGATAATGGTGAGAGTTAATAACTCAAACCCCTATTCTTTTGGCCTATATTAATTTTTCCACTTTCTGAAGTATTTTAAATATTTGTTTCATCCCTTTAAATGAGTAATGCTACCTTAGAAATAGAAAGAAATACCATAACATTACTGTGTGTTTGATATAGTGAGGCAGTCCAAGGAAAAACATGTTTCCTTTCCCTGTAACCAACAAATAAACCTTGCACTTAGGGGCAAGTATACCAACCTGACTTCTTGATGATGATTTAAGCATTGACTGACTCTTTCCTAGACAGTCTTGATCCAAAGCACATCCCATAGAAGTTGGTGGATTAATAATACGACCTTCCCTTATCGCCCTAGGTAAATGATATGTGTCAAATAGTTCCTAACTAACATCACCTCTTTATCATTTCCTAATGATAGGAAATAAAATCTGTGGCTTAGAAGGGTGTGTGCAGATAATTAATGCTGCACCAACTATAGGGAGTGATCTGCTGGGAGGTCAGTACCCACAAGTGAAAATGACCTTGTGATGTCTCTTTTTACATTGTTAAAGTACTGTTTCACCTACCTGGGTACAAGTTGTGCATTTTGCTGTTGAATCTGGACCATGTATCAATACTTATTTACTGATTTGCCTTCAGCTATTACTATTCAAAGATTTGACAATTTGAAATCTCACAGTGGTACCACATAAGAAAGGCATAGTGATCTGCTTTCATAAAAAGTACAGCCCCCAAAACCCAATGGAGCTCCTTCAACTACATAGCTCATTGAATTGTCATGAATCAGAAGTGACTCAACAGCAATGGAGTTTGCTGGAAATGGGTCTTTGCTGGTTTTTGTCTTTGTCTAGGATTACATTTGTTAGGGAGCTCTGGTGGTCTAGTGGGTAAGAGGTTGTGTTGCCAGCCAAGAGGCCTACAGTTCAAATCCATCAATTATTTTGTGGTGGAAAGATGAGCAATTTCCTCCTGTACAATTTATAACCTGCTGGAAGGCCAGCTATGAGTCAGTTCCAACTCAACAGCAACCAGTGACTGTGTGAGTGATGTACAGTTAAAGTATTGGGCCGATCTTGAGCTTTCTTGCTCAAATTCCCTTCTTTAGGAAGTTTTTAAAAACAATAATCATATTTTTGGCCACCTTAACATTCCCAGAATTTCAACAGTCTATTGATCAAGAACATAACATTAGCTATCAAAGAATGATTAAGTGGGCCATAGAGGAATGGCTAAAGGTCACACAATCCCATTTTACAGGGCATGTTTTCCAGGTGATGTATTATTAGTTTTGTCTTATATCTCTTAAGTATGGTTTCAAGCTATCAAAGAATGATTAAGTGGGCCATAGAGGAAAGGCTAAAGGTCACACAATCCCATTTTACAAGGCATGTTTTCCAGGTGATGTATTATTAGTTTTGTCTTATATCTCTTAAGTATGGTTTCCTCTCATCTTTTAAAGATATACAAGGGTTGTTATGAATGGCTTCTTTAGAAGATGAGATACTGAAAAGTTATGCTAACAAGGGGATGACAACTGATCTAGAAAGGAAGAAAAAGTGCTTACCATAGATTCAATTTTCTGGCTCATTTCTGTGAAATTTTTGGAGGCTTCTTTTCCAAACTCATCATATAATTTGTCACTTGTGAATGATAGTGTGCTATAATAATTATGGGTGTTCCTTTGATCTATAAGAAAAGAGACAACAAGCACAATATTTTGACCACATATACGTTAAGCTTGGAAGGAGGAGTGGCATCCACTTCCATAATAGCTTGCCTCCGGAAACCTTATGAACCTGGAGAGAGGATGAAAGGCACCCAAGCATTGAGGACTCTCCTTCATAGGGTCGCTATGAGGCGCCTGAGACTCGATGGCACTTACCAACCAACAACAACATGTGTTAAGCATCCTTACTTCCCTGTTTGGTTTGACTTCTAGCAAGACTAAGATAGAAAGGAATGACTGTACTCCAATGTGTCATCCTGTTTTGTGCTTCATAGCTGTCTCAGAAAGAAAGAGAACCACACGCTCATCATAAGACTTTCAACATCACAACATTTTGGAATGCAAAAGCTGTAAGAAATGTCTTGAGATCCGAGGGTTTCATACAGTCACTTCACTGTGATTATGGGACATTACTCATGCATTCTCCAATTCTGAATTAGCCACAAAAAGGCGTCAAGTCATGTAATCTAAGCATACAACCAGGGAAGGGTCTAAGAACTTCCCCAAGGTGACCAAATTTCTACATCGCTCAAGAAGGTTTCCACAAATTTAGTAAACTACACGTGCTTTCTGTCCACAAGTAGTTTTCTTCGAGAAATGCATTTTGGAGGAATAAAAGGGATGTTATTAAGTACTGTCAAGTCAACTATGGCTTCCAGTGACCCTGTGAATTGGGTCAGAACCTTGCTCTGTTCTGTGCCATCCTCATTATCTCCTCCTCTTTGCTCATGCAGATTATACATGCACTGTGCCAGTTTATCTTGTTGAAGGTCTTCCTCTCTTTTGCTGACCCTCCATTTTTACCAGTATGATGGGGGAGGGGGGGGTGTTTATTGTTTGTTTGTTTGTCTTTCTGACCAGGCCAGGCTATTCCTTGGAAAGTAACATCATTCTTGGAAATATGGAGGGTTAGTTAAGGAGAGGAAGATACTCAATGAGATGGACTGACATAGTGACTTCAGCAATTGGCTCTAATGTGTCAGGGATGATGAAGATGGCACAAGATAGAGCAGGTTTTAGTTTATAGAGTGGCTATGAGTCATACTTGGCTAGTGGGCACTTAACAATAACAACAGGCCCTCTAGATAATATGTCCTACGTATTTGAGACTAAGCATCAACATTGTTGAAGAAGCAATTTGTTGTACTTTCTCCTAGATTTAATTGTTCTTTTGACAATTCACTAGATATTAAGTATTATTTACCCACAGCACAATTCATAAGCATTAATTCTTCTTTGGCCGTTTTACTTATTGCCCAACTTCCAGATGCATAGGAAGCAATTGAAAATACTGTGGCTTTGATAAAGTACACCTTAATCTTTAAACCGGCATAATTCTTGGGAGGAAAAGACTAGAGAATCATTATGTGGTAATAATAGAGGAAATCTGAGGAGCTGGAGCTGCCACCTGGCATATTCCTCCAGGGACACTACTTATTTTCTGCTGTTCCTTTACCACTTCATTTATTTTCTTCTTGACTGTTGTTGGCTTGTCAGCTTACTTCCTGAACTACTGTCTCTACTTGTTGCATCAAGTTTAAGCAACTCAGGCCTTTGGCTCTTGCATATATGAATACAACATAGTTTTTCTTCTAACACCTTGTACGTGAAGAAAATACAGAGCCCTCAGAGGATTCATTCATCAGTTTAGTGATTCACTCAACAAATACTAATCTTAATTACCTTACAAGTAGAGACAATCTGCCAGGCATTATGAAGATTTTATTGACCAAGAGAATTGTCTGGTTTTATTATAAGAAAATAAATTATGTTCCTTCCCATTTCTGTCTCTCTTTTCCTCCTTGAACATTCTTTCTTTAAGTTCAAAGAAGGAGGAAATAATTATTAAGCACCTGTGTGCCAAGCATATTCAGATGGCCTACTGAATTTACAGTCATCTCTGTGGTAAAGGCTATATTAACCACATTTAACAGAAAATTAAATTATAGGCTTGGAAATGTAAATAAATTGCTTAAAGTGCTACAGGCAGAAAAGACAGAGCGGACGTTCCAGCCAATGCCTAATTCTCAAATTACAGACCTCTTTTGCAAATGCCTTCTTGAGATGACTGGAATAATGTGAAGAGCATGTACTGGAGTGATAGGAAAAGTAATTTATTTTAAATTTTTGTAGTTATAAAACCCTGAAGATACATTTTTTTTCTTTTAAGAAATTGTGATCTTAAAGAAAGTTTACAGAAAGTTTGGATTTTTGCAATTAAATTAAAAAAATAATCCTACCCTTCCAGGTTAGGATGTGTGAGAGAAAGAGGGAGAAATTCCTGGTCAGTACTTGCCAAGGGCTTAGAAGAACTCAGCAGGCCTTAACAGAGAGGAACTGCCTATTAGAGAGCCAACTTTCCCAACAGTAGTGACCTAAGTGAGGAACTAAAGTGAGGGGTTTGCCATTTTTCTCTCCTTCCTCACTTCCCTTTCAATGCCTTGCTCTGAATTGGCCAGAGTGATGGGAAATGCCAGAAAATCTCTAGCATTTTATATAATTTTATGTAAAGGTTTTAGTTCACTGAAATATTAAAAAAAGCTCATCATCATCTTTGTAAATTATTGCTCCTTTATGTTGGAATGTTAAAAGGCTCTCCATTTACCACAACTTTGAAAGCACATTTGTCTACAGTTTGGACTAGGTATCATCTTGGGATAACAGTCTCAGAATACTATTCTAATTATGCATAAGAGACATATAACTATAAAAATTTTAGAAACTTAATAAAATTCACTTCTAAATATGAAATTGTGACATCAAGTCACATCTTAAATTCCCTTCTTAACTAATCTTAAAGTTTAGATCCAAGATTTATAAGAATTTGGTTATGTTTATATCCAACAAAGTTTGCAAAATTAATTATGCTGTCTATAAAAGTACATAATCTCAATATTAATGAAGCTTTTTATCTACAATGCACATTTTCAGTTTTTACTTTCCTCAAAGGTCACAGAACGAGCTTGTATTTGTTTACCATATTGTGCTCTGTATAGTTTCTGTGTTTTCACTGAAAAAATTATGTTGTTGTTGTTATGTGCCATCGAGTCCTTCCCGACTCATAGCGACCCTATGCACAACAGCTCTAAACCCTGCTCTATCCTGGGCCAACCGCACCGCCTCTGACACACCCATCCCGATTACCCTAGTCACCGAATCAATCCATCTCATAGAGGGTCTTCCCCTCCTGCGCTGTCCCTCAACCCTCCCAAGCATGATGTACCTCTCCAA